AGATAGGGTCTAAAACAACCTAGTAATATATGGAGACAATATAAAAAATCTTTGCACACTGTACTTAAAGACAATACCTGAAGACAAAATATTTTTTGGTAGGTAATAAAATTAATTCAAATACCAAAAACATTTTATAAAAATTTACTTTAAATCATTATAATTCTGGAGGTGTAACATAATAGTGATAAGTAAAGAGTGCATCATATTTCATACTTTATTAGCATATTTGCATCATTTCCTGCTTCTGCTTAACCTTTAGAAAAAATATTTAAGTTGCATCAAATAACAGGCCTAGTTTATAGCCTGAATTGTTTCCTCCTGGCTGTTTCCTTTCACTTCTATACATATGGAGATGTTTCTATGCTAGAGATACCTCATTCTTTAAAATTATTGTAGGAAATATTCTATAATTTATTTACCCTTCCACATTAATGACTATTTAGCTTACTTAGAAAGGTTTATAGTTGTTCATGACAAAATTAGGAATCATAAGTTAATTTAATAGATGGTGTTTTCTTCCATAACTCCCCTGGCTTCTTGCATATATTTGAGAATGGTCTTTTAAAACAAGCCCCAAATGCCTTTGGAAAGGTATTGTAGGAGTTTATATCTACCTCAGGCCTCCTTCTATAATTTAGCTGCATCAGAGAACCAGTAGTATAGGTTTAATTTAAAATCCAGCAAAAACTAACATCATAGTTGGATTCTGGTCAAAGGAGTTGCTAATAACCGGGCTATGGGATAGGATTTAAAGGTGACTCTTTCACACATTAATGCCAACAAACCAATTTGGCCTGAACTTCTTTCTTTCTCCCCTTTTTTGATTACTCTTATATAGTTATTTGCGTGCATGTCTGACTTCCTTGATCTTCTGAGGGTAGGGACTATGCCTTATTTATCTTTGTATTATTCAAAGGTTCTACCACAGTGGTCATGCCCACAGTGGTTATTCAAGAAATATGTGTTAAGAGAAATAATTATATGAGAGTTAGAAATTCTCATTCAGATTCCTTTATTTAAACAACTGGCTTTCAGCATGTTGGGTGGTATAAGGAAGAAATATGGGGTTTTCATATCTAATCTAATAAAAGAAAAACATGCAAATTGCCCGCCCCTCTGCTATCCCACAAGCCACACCCACCAGCCAAGCAGAGCAACTATATGCAAATTAACCCAACCAAGATGGCAGTCGGCAGCCACGGAGCTGGAGCAAGCAGGAGGCTTGGTTGCCCTGGTGATGGAGGAAGCCAAGCTTCCCGCCTGCCCTGGCCAGCTGTGGCCTCCACTCAAGGCAACAAAGTTTCAATTATAGAAGATAAATAAACCCCAGATACCTGCTTCCAGCCAGCCTCCACTGGGAGCTTGGGTGGCTGGGGGCCTTGGCCAGCCTGCAAACAGCCATCAGTTCCTCACTCAGGCTGGCCAGGAACCCAAGCGGGGACCCCTATCCTGAAGGGGCTGTGGCCAGCCTGTAAACAACCATCAGCCACTCACTCAGGCTGGCCAGGCACCCCAGTGGGGCCCCCCACCCTGATCCGGGACCCCCTGCAGGGCAACCCAGCCGGCCCCCACCCATGCACCAGGCCTCTATCCTATATAATAAAAGGGTAATATGCAAATTGACCCTAACAGCAGAAAGACTGGGAATGATTGGTCACTATGACACACACTGACGACCAGGAGGCAGACGCTCAATGCAGGAGCTGCCCCCTGGTGGTCAGTGTGCTCCCACAGGGGGAGCTCTGCTCAGCCACAAGCTATGCTGACGGCTGCCAGTACAGCAGTGGTGGTGGGAGCCTTTCCCGCCTCCTCAGCAGCGCTAAGGATGTCCGACTGCAGCTTAGGCCTGCTTCCTGCTGGCAAGTGAACATCCCCTGAGAGCTCCCGAGCTGCCAGAGGGATGTCTGATTGCCAGCTTGGGCCCAACCCCCCAGGGAGTGGGCCTAAGCCAGCAGGTGGTCATCCCCCGAGGGGTCCCAGACTGTGAGAGGGCACAGGCCGGGCTGAGGGACCCCCCCCCCCCAAGTGCACAAATTTTTGTGCCCCGGGCCTCTAGTCTAATCTAATAAAAGAGAAACAGGCAAATTGACCACCCCTCCGCTATGCCCCAAGCCATGCCCACCAGCCAATCAGAGCGACTATATGCAAATTAACCCAACCAAGATGGCAGTCGGCAGCCACGGAGCTGGAGCAAGCAGGAGGCTTGGTTGCCTTGACAATGGAGGAAGCCAAGGTTCCTGCCTGCCCTGGCCGGCTGTGGCCTCCACTCAAGGCAACAAAGTTTCAATTATAGAAGATAATAAACCCCAGATACCTGCTTCCAGCCAGCCTCCACTGGGAGCTTGGGTGGCTGGGGGCCTTGGCCAGCCTGCAAATAGCCATCAACCCCTCATCCAGACTGGCCAGGCACCCCATCAGGACCCCCCCACACTGAAGGGGCTGTGGCCAGCCTGCAAACAGCCATCAGCCCCTCACCCAGGTTGGCCACACCCTCATGAGGTGAGGGTCCTCACAAATTTTTGTGCACCAGGCCTCTAGTATACAATAAGTTAATATAGAATTTAAGAGTTGCCATACTCAGTTCATAATCCTCTGGTTTTCCATATGAACCTCACTTCTATCCCTAGCCATGTCGCAATGCGAGGGAGGTGACTCTCATTCTGGCTTGTTCTGGCAGGAAAGAACTCATCACCTGGCTTGCCTAATCTACATTGGCTTCTAGTTTCAACAAGAATTGTTTACACGAATTTAATTTTAGCTCCTGGGCTGTAATATGTCATTGTTCTTTTGGCTCATCTCCTCCCCTTGCTTTTGGAAACAGGACAGGCATCTTTCATTCTTGCTGGTCCTGTTTCTTTGTGCTTTTAGATGGAATTTAGCTTTGCCCCTCAGCTTTCATGGCACTCCAAGATGGTCTCCAGTCATATTTCCTGTAGAAAGGGAAGTGGAGATTGGGGGGCACTGTTTAAGTTACTTAAGGAACTCATGTTCTGGTTTGAAAGAAAGTTAAAAGTAAGGTATTGGATTGATTTATTGTATTTGGTTGTTCTTCTATATTCAATTTACAGGATAATGCATTCAGCTCTCATTCAATTTTATCTGTTGCTGTCACAGTGAATCTGTAGGAAAAAATAGATTTGAGGCTTAGTTAAAAAAATTCATGGTTAGTATAATTATTTTTATTTCTTTCCATATTTAGGGGGAAATGTATACTCTAGGAAAATAATAATGAACTTTGGCAAAACATGTTTTCTTAAGAGTAGGACATGAAAATGGAAAGTACTCAAAGCAGTATTGCACAAGGGCTTTGTAAAGCCTCTTCTTGCACAATTCTGTTTCTTTATAGTACTTACACAATTGTGTTTCTTAATGATTTCTAGAAACTTGTTTTGATAAAAAGCTTAAAAATATAAAAATAAAGAGATAACTTTGGGAGAACATACATTTCTGGTTGCTTACTTCTATACTGTGACAGGCATAAAACTATGAAATTTTTTAGGACAATTTTCATGTCAGTTGTAGAGAAGACAGGAAATGCAATACACTGTAGGTTAGGAGGTATTGGTTTGCACCTAGAGGAGAGATGTGAAATTCAATATTTCTCTAAACTTCTATAGAATTCATCCATTCATTATTTACTCATTAAAAATAATTAAGTACCTGCTACTTTTAATCATTGTGCCAGAGCAGAGCTCAAAGAAACCACAATCTCTTACTTTCTAAAAAATTTTAAATCCTCACCCAAGGATATGCTTGTTGATTTCAGAGAGAGGGGACAGGAGAGAAAGAGAGAGAGAGAGGGAGAGAGAGAGAGAAAGAGAGAACACTGATTGGTTGCCTTCCATACACACCCTGACTGGGATTGAACCTGCAACCCAGGTATGTGCTGCGACCAGGAATTGAACCCACAACCTTTTGATATATGGGACCATGCTCCAACCAATTGAGCCACACTGGCCAGGGCAAGTGTATCTTATTTTAATTGCACAGTTACTTTTCTTTAAAATCCTTTATCTTTAAGAGACTATAAATTAAATATCTGGACAATTCTAAATATCCACATTTGGGTTGCATATTACTTTTACCTCTTGGGCTATATATAATAAAGCTTCATCCCTTTACAGTGTAGATATTAGACCTTCTTTATATAAATGAGAAAATGGAGCTCCAGAGAAATTAAATAACAAGTTCAAGGTGTTCAGCTATTCCATTATAATGTGTGTTTAAACAAAAGCCAGTCTGACTCCAGAGTGACATCACCCCACTCAATTCTAGTTCAATCAGATGCTGGTAGATAACCAGATTGTAGCTGGGGGTGTGGGTCCTGTTTGCCAGTTGAAAAGATCATGGCTAGCATCGGACTGTCAAGAAAGCAGACTGGGAGAAGATTTAATGAAACCAAAAACTAGATAGAGTACAAAGATGGCAGGATTGCCCATATGTATGGATTTCTTGTACCTCGAGGAATGAACTCCTAAATATCCCTGAGAGGCAAGAGTGGACAGAAGGCTGGGAACAGAGGTGTGCACAGGTATCTCCTTTGCAGCTGGTGACCGACATTATTGACAACCACATCTCACATGACACAGAGATAAGCACTTTACAAATTAATGTGACAAAAAACTCTCCTGCAGTCTGATTAGACTTTGTCATTTTTGTGTTAGCATGTTAATTATGTAGATGAGGAAACTGACACATTCAAGACGTTCCTTGAATTTCAAAGGCCACATGGTGAAGCTTGGTGCCAGAACCAATCCCCCAGGATTTTCAATTTCAAGCTGGTATTCTTTCTATCAGGTCTCACTGCCAATAGAATCACCTTTGCTTTCTCTAACTTTGCTTAGTCACTCCTGTGGCTCCACTAAGTAACTCTCTGCCAAGGCAGAAATTCTCAGAAAACAAATGTACCAGTGAGGTTGATGAAATGAGATAAAAATAGAGAAAAGGAAGGAGGCATGTTGCAAAGTGGCGTCCATCAATGCAAGAGGAAAGGGACATACTGGGAGGAAAGAAAAAGAGAAAATTAAAGCCAATGAGTCAGTTCTGAGACGGTGAGCAGAACAAATGTCGCATGTGTACCTGCATCTCTCCTATAGGTGTGATCCTGAGGAGTTGTATATAAGGTGAGCAAAAGTGTAACGCACTGTGGAAACTGTCTAGCTGTTGGGATCCTACTGGGAACTATTTTTCAAAGTGAAGAAAACTCTGATAAACCTCTACTTTGTTTATGGAGAGTACTTAGCCCAGCTGTACCCAGAAAGCTTGAAAATGCCACCCACACAAATATAACCCTGAGACAATTTTTGTTTACCAAAAATTTGGAAAATTTGCTTAAAAGGAACATTAAAAGTTGTTTAGCTTCATGACATGGACATGTGACAATGTGCATGGTTACCTTCTATTGTAAATTTGAAAAAAACTTTACTGCATCTATTGCTGAGGGATGAAGAACATTTTCTTCGGCTTTGAACTACTTTAGTTAAAATCTGATTGTAAAAGGCAGCACTTGAGACTGCATCTTATTCATTTTGTACTTTTTTCCTGCACCAAACAAATTTTTTTTGGTGATTAATAAAGGGTGCAGTATTCTATTTAGATATCAGAGTTCATTATTAAATAATTTTAAATTATTTCAGTAAAGACATGTGCAGACAATTTATATTAAAAAATTGAATCAATTTGACTTACATTTCCCTTTAGTTCAGTGGTTCTCAACCTTGGCTGCACATTAGAATCACCTGGGAATCTTCTTAAAATCCTGATTTCTGGGCCTCATCATTAGTAACAAAGAAACAGAATTTCCGGAGGATGAGGCCCAGAAATCAGGATTTAAAAAAGATTCCCAGGTGATTCTAATGTGCAGCCAAGGTTGAGAACCACTGCTCAAGTTGAAAGGAAAACTCATTGACTCCAAAGCAACTGTTTTCTTTTTGAAAAAAAAAAAAAATTCAAAAATCACCCAGAGACAATAGGGAGTGTCCCAGATGCTTGTGATTTTATTTCTGTGTGGTTAAAGTTCAGCTTTCTCAACATACTATAATCTCAGTGTAACTGGCCAAATTCCATGGTGGATAATTAGATCTAGCTTACCAGGGCAGATTTGGCCGGAGAAGGCAATCAGAATGTACTTGTGGGAATCCATTAGGCAAGTTTGTTGTGTTTGACATGAGTGGTCGGCCTCACCTTACTTGCCAACTGCACTAGCCCAGCAGGTTCTACTGGAGTGAGATCACGGCTTGGCTCTCATTTCCACACATAGTAGATAAAAGAAGCCACCAAAGAAATGGCCTGACTTTGGGCCTCAGAAGTTCTCTTTCTTATTTGCTTTCCCCAAACCCTTCTTCCGAGAACCCTACGTTATACGTTTATAATTCCCTCATTTATTCATCCAATAAATATTGACTAAATACCTATAATGTGTCAGGCACTGACCCAGGCTCTAGAAATACAAGAAGAGTTGTACACTTTCTGGATTTTAAGGACAGAAATAATAAAGATTTGAATTATTGAGCTCTGAGAATTGTAGCATTTTTCACCGACTATTTTAGTTATGCATTTCTAGGACTCTGAAGGCAGGAAATGTCTGGTTCTGTTTCTTTCTTATGGGGTGGGGCCACAACATTAGTAACAAAGAAGCAGAATTTCTGGAGGATGAGGCCCAGAAATCAGGATTTTAAAAAGATTCCCAGGTGATTCTAATGTGCAGCCAAGGTTGAGAACCACTGCCTTAGATTGTGAAAGCAGTGGTTTATGCTCTATTTGTTTCCCACTTTCAATGTCCATGGACCATCTTCAAGACTTTTGACATATTTACATACTATTGTGCTTCTGTAAATACACTACTATTTTTTTTTAACTTAGTTAAATTTGTTTAATAACAAATCTGGTAAGTCACTTTAATATAAATATATGATTACTAAATTAAATATTTTTTTTTCTGTATGCATTCCCAGACCTTCTCAAGTATTCTCAGTATTACACAGAGCATTACACTTGGGGAAGCTTTGAGAGTGGGGAATGGCAGAAAAAAAATGCATAAGTACTGGTAGTATTCATAGCAATGGTAAGAAGAGCTATTATTTATTGAAGGCTTTACATGTGTCATTTATTTTATTTAATCTTTACAACTTTCACAGCCATGAATATCACACAAATGTGAGGCAAAAAGACAGGGAAGAGGGGACAGCTTAGGGCAACTGTACCTAACACATGTTATTATGTTTTTAGTATTTATTCTTTTCTTTAGTTAACTGAGATTTCACACCTGATTATTATATGAAAAATGGAGTGTGATGGTGACAGATTAAAAAAAGCTTTTAATCAAATATATTTGCTGTTTGTCAAAGAATGCTAGTGTTAATCACACCCATGCTAGGAATGCTGGATGGAGCAAGAGAAATCAGATTAAAACTTTGTTTTAGCTAATGGTTTCTGCTTCCTCAGTTGCTAATCAGTGAGAATATCCTTGTCCTATTGAACTAAAGCATTTGATCAAAAGCTTACGTATTCTCTGGCACCTAACTTATTAAAGGCAAAAATCTTCCAGCTCTCTGCTAAGAAAAGATTGAAATAAATTGGGGTGGGGGCAGGCTAGAAGGGGCCAATGAAGGGCAGAGGGGACATATGTAATACTTTCAACCATAAAGATTTAAAAATTTTTTTAAAATAAAATATTATCACAAAATGTTAGATTTTGAAGAGAGTTAAGGAACGTAAGACAACTTGCACACTTTACAGAGAAAAGAAGTTAAACCAGTGATAATTAGGGAAAATTTTCCTGTGTTTCCATACTTGGTATGTCCAACATGAAATTTATGACACATAATTGTTTTTAATGATGTACCTGAAGTTTGCTTTCAATATATGGTGAATCCAAGTAAAAACCATGCCTTATTTCTCATTCTACGTTTTTAGCACATTGCCTTGTACTTAGTTGGTGCTGAATAATCATATATATTTTTTCTAATTAAATGGTATGATACACCCCATAAACCTTCTTTTTAATTCTTCTTTGCTATGGACTTTCTAGATGCTTAATTCTCATTCCCTTATTTATCTTCCTTGACAAGTGTTAAAGGCAGTGTACTTCAGAGATACTTTGGTGACTAATAAAGACGTAGATAGCTGGAGCAGTGGGCTGCCCATTGTCGTGTTTACGTATTCTGGGAATTGTCAAAACAAGAAAGATGAAAAATCTAAGGATGTATGAACTATGTTGATTAAATATTTTCATCAGATATTTACAAAAATTGTGGGAGCTGTAAGAAATAATGAATCTATCATTAGCACTATTGTTATGGAAGAAATTATCTAAAGGTTGTATGCTTAGAAAAAAGTTAAAATAAGCCCTGACTGGTTTGGCTCAGTGGATAGAGCGTCGGCCTGCAGACTCAAGGGTCCCAGGTTCAATTCCGGTCAAGGGCATGTGCCTTGGTTGTGGGTACATACCCAGTAGGGAGTGTGCAGGAGGCAGCTGATCGATGTTTCTCTCTCATTGATGTTTCTAGCTCTCTATCCCTCTCCCTCTCCCTTCCTCTCTGTAAAAAATCAATAAAATATATTTAAAAAAGTTAAAATAAGCTAGTTTTTTCACATAATTAAATGATCAAACAGTTACTCTTATTATTTTTCCTTAGCTCTGTTAAAATATAAGTGGTATATAAAAAACTGCACATAATTAATGTACACAATTTGATGACTTTAGGCATATGTATTTATTTGTTGTATCCATACTCTGATTATTTCTCACAGTAGTCTAATTAAAGTACTAGAGGCCTGATGCATGAAATTCGTGCAAGGGGCTCGGCCCCTGCTGCCACATGGCTGCCTCTGCCTCGACCCCTGGGGCACCGCGGCTTAGTCCAGAAGGTAGTCCGGTCTAATTAGCATATTACGCTTTTATTATTATAGACTAGAGGCCGGGTGCACAAAAATTTGTGCACTCGAGGGGGGGG